TCGACCGCATGAGCCACAGCCGCAGCAGCAGCAGCAGCAGCAGCAGCAGCAGGAGTAGTAGTAGTGTAGTAGTAGTAGTAGTAGTAGTAGTAGTGGTAGTAGTAGTAGTAGTAGTAGTAGTAGTAGGCAGCAGCAGCAGGGTTAGTAGTAGCAGTCGTCGTAGTAGTAGTAGTAGTAGTAGTAGTAGCAGCAGTGGTACTAGTAGCAGTAGCATGCAGTAGCAGCAGCAGTAGCCGCGGTAGAGCAGCAAAAGGAGAAGGAGGAGTAGCAGGAGCCACCTCCTCTCCTCTCCGCCCCACCCCCAACCCCCCACCCCCCCACCCCCACCCCCAACTGCCCCCTACACACTCACCCCACTACGAGTGGCAGCACAGCGTAGCAGTAGTAAGAAGGGCGGGGCAGATGAAACGGAGAGGAAGAAGAAGAAGTCGAGAATCAAGCAGAACTATCGGCCTTCACCAAGGATAGCGTGAGGCCTGGCGAGTCGCAGGATGAGGCCATCAAAAAAGTTCTGAGCTGCGGAAGTGCTGGAGACTGGAGAGGTTTGATTGTCCAGTCTTGGTGTGACGTTTTGCAGGTGACTTTGCCAGTCAGGACTCGGGTGAAGGAGCGGCATGGGCCCTGGTCCTCGAGAGCATGCAGAAAACTTGCCACTGGCCTCGCAGCCTGGGCTTTGTCCCTCCGAGGATCGTGCCTCACTACTCCCCAGTGCTACTTCCGGGAACGTCGAAATGCCGGCAATTTGAGCTCCAAGCTCAGCGGATCAGAGGCTCAGAAGCCACTTCTACAGGGAGTCCCCTCTCCGAAGCCGAGGTTCCATCCTCTGAAGCCTGACATCATGTTGGTGGGGGACAAGGATGGCCGGGTGAAGATCGTGAATACAGGCAGGGCTCCATGCTCAAAGCCTGCTTTAACCTCGCGTTCCATGCAAGTGTCGCAGAATTCTATCTCTGAGTTGGCACAGTGTCAGGTACTCATGAGCGTCGAGCTCGACCTGCGACTCAGGTGCCATGGCATGAAGCCAGAGCTTTAGGACGGAGTCGGCCAGACAAACCCAGCGAGAACTAGAGCTTCGGAGGTGGACAACTGCGCTCTGCTCGGGCTGTCCTGGTTGCGGCACGCTCCCAACATTGCAGCCGGCGCCCCGGGTTAACGTGGACACTACCACCATGTCGTGCTTAATTACGTGCCGACCGAGGTCTGTGGAGGATCAACTTCCGGATCGATTCAGTTCCTCAGGCGATCTGTTCTTGCCTTTAATTTGGGCCACCTTGACACCTAAACAAGCCGACCCCGCAGCCGCGTTGGACGGACGTGCCGATTTGCTTCGAAGAATCCTTAGATAGCGGCTTGTGCAGAGCCGCGGTGCTGTGAATGGAATTCTGGCAGGTATATCCCAGATGCGAGGCTCGTCACGACGTTGAGAAGGCATGAACGACCCCGAAACCCTTCCTCCATTGCCAGGCCGGGATCCCCCGCGTTGGCGAGGGCCGCCACCGTGCAGGAGAAGTTCATTCCGAAGCTGTCGTCCTTAAGACCGAACCTCAGAGGCTTTGTTACGACATGTTACCTTAGAGGACGATGACTGTTCCGGTAGCGGGAAGCAAGTTCGTTTGCTTGGTCTCCGAGGCGTGAACTGCTCCGACAACTTCCTCCTGGCATCGGGGATCTCATCTTCCATCCGCATCTTCGATATAGAGCGGGACGCACAGCAGGGCCCAGGCAGGGCCCAGGTTGAGCCGGGTCCTTGAGACACCGCCAAGGACAGGCAAAGTCACCAGCAGAGGGAGCGACGTGCACGAGCACTTCATCAACATCAGCGTCTTGCCGGCGCTTCATCCTGCAGGGACCTGCATGGGCACCAACCTCTTCCGACGATCAGCTCTTGTTTCTCTGTGTGTGGGAGACCAAGGTAGATTCTGCAATACCTCGCCACACATCTTTGCAACAGCCGCGTTGGCATGTATTGTCGCTCAGTTTCGCCGGGGTCCGCACCCACAGCTGAACGTTTCGTAACAGCACCTCCTATAATTTTACTACTAGTGATGATGACCAGGTTGACGAAGCTGATGAAGGCGATTGTGATTGTAATGTTCATGTCATGACGTTGGTGACAGCCATGCTGAAGCGCGAGCATAATCAGGCTGAGGATCTTGCTGGTTGCCGATGAGGCTTCTGAAGATCAGAAGAAGAGGAGCAAGCCGACAAAGAAGCCTGCGAGGATGGTGATGGTCATGGCCATGGTCATAGTGAGTGACGATGGTGCATGAAGGTGATGGTTGTGAAGGTCTGGGGGATGTCCATGATGCTGATGAGTGACGCTGATGATCATGATGACAGCCACGGTCGTGACGATGGGCGATGCTGATCATGATGGTGTGTTGACGGTGGTGATATCAGTGGTGGTCATGGTGCAGCCTCTGTTGGCACCACTGCCGCTGCCGATGATGAGGATGATTATGATATCGTGGGGAGCGCATGAGCTGAAGGCGCTGCTTCGTGAGGTTTTGGGCTCATGCTTGACTTAGTCCGAGGTCACCGCGGAATGTTGCGCGACTGGGTTCGTGTCACCCGCACCAGCTTTGCCAGGCCTCCTTCGACCACACCTGCAAGATATGGGACCTCCGGCGTCCGCTGAAACGGCAGAATCCTTTGAAGACCCTCCGGACCGGCGGCCCGACACACAGCTAAACTGCCGCACACGGACACAGTCGCAACTTTCAGTGGTCTCAGTAGTGCTCGTTATGTGGATCATCGCGCATGATGATCCTTCAGGCCACAACGTTATGGGCACCTTTTCGCCAGATGACAGGTCGGCCGTCCTATCCTTCTTCGACACATTCCTTCGTCATTCGGTTCTTGCCAGGCTATTCCTGTGCAGCGGGCTTGACACGCGACTTTGGCAGTTCGAGGCATCCATGACATCCTTGAGTTGCTCGTGATGCGAGCAGCATGTTTACATTAGCAGATGCACCAGGTGAATGGGCAGAAGCAAGCGGCATGAGCACTTACGTGCTGCAACTCGTGATTGCATGAACACAGCTGGCAGCAGCAGCAGCAAGTGTCATCATCACCATATTGGGCCATCTTCGTCACCATTACCGTCATCAACTTCATCTCCTCATCGTTACCATCATCATCGTCATCATCACCATCATCACCATGACAAGCACCGTCACCAACGTTTGTATAGTCAGTTGAGTGCCATCATCGGCTTTCTGTTTATGGCGATCTCAAGGGTCATGCCAACGACGACCAGTGGTGCTACGACAGCAGCAACAACAGCTACAACAACCACAACAACATGTATTGGCTTTAGCGACTCTAGTAGTAATCGTCGTAGTAGTATTGTGGCTGTCGTCGTCGTAGTGGTAGTAGTAGTAGCAGTAGTAGTAGTAGTAGTAGTAGCAGCAGCAGCAGCAGCAGCAGCAGCAGCAGCGCAGTGGCAGCAGCAGTAGCAGTAGCAAGTCTACTGTGTTCCGGCAGAATCTGCTCGGCGATCTTCACCACGTGGACTCAACCTCAATAGCTCGACATTAATGCCTGTATGTATGTATGTATGTATGTATGTATCTATGTATGTATGTATGTACGTCTGTAAGTAAGTATGTGTTGCCCATCTATTGCTTGCACAGTAATCAGTAATCCTCTCCGGCTGCATAGGGTAGTGAAGCAATCACACTAGCTAGCATCTAACATTTTTGCCGCCCCGGTGCAAAGGTGGGCACTTGGACGCAAACTTCTCCCATTGCGCTACGCAGCCCTCTACACAAAGAGCGCAGCACCCTTGGTCATGTTCGCTGTGGTCGACTGATTGATTTTTGTTCCTAGAGGCTATCGCCGGGCCGCCTATCTTGCGAACAGCAAGTACTTCGTCACAGGATCCACAGAGGCAGGAGAGAGAACAGCAGAAACTGAATTCTTGAACTTTTTGGCGGATCATGCGCAGCTGCGTATGCTTGCTTGCGGTTATGCTGTACAGGAATCGCACATCCACCTCTTCTCTGTTCATGGCAAGAAGATTGGCTGCGTCGACCTGCGAGGTATGCTTCAGGCCGGGAAGCTGTAGAACGAAGTCGATCAAGTGCCCGTTTAGAACGCGGCTATGTGGAAATGTTTCCTCGTGGTGCTGACATGCAGCAAGTGAATGAACAGCCCCTTCCGGCCCCAACAGCAAAAAATGCACATCCCCTCCCCAACAAAAACAATCTCCTAAGCCCAGTAGCAGCAACAAACGACACATGCACTTGCGCCAAGAGCAACAACAAGTATTCCTCTGCCCGGCCGCATCAGCAAAAAGACATCCGCTGCCAGCTGCAACAGCAAAAAGGACAACTCCCCTGCCGCGACAGCAGAAAAACTCGAATGCCACCTCGAAGCAACAGCAACAGCGCAACGCTTCTATTGTGGACGTTCCTAAAGCACCGGTGCAGGTCCGTGCCTCGCCGCTGCGCAGCTACACAGAGCCCATCCGTGGGACGGCACGCCGAGGGTGTAGTCTTATAATCTATTATAGCCTCTTGTAGCTATCTATATATACATATATATATATATATACATACACATGTATGCATGCATACATACATACATACATACATACATACAGATATATATATATATAGATATAGATATAGATATAGATATATATGTATGTGTATATATATATATGTATGTATATATCTATATGTCTATATATATATATATATACACACACATATTGTAGTTTATGATGGGATGATGGGAGTGGGTCGGCAGAGTAGACTTTGGGAGTCCGAGAGCATGCATCCTGTGAGGTATGCCTCGAGGATGCCGACCCTCAAAGTGGGTCGACCTGGCTCGGATTGCCAAGCGTCATTGCCTGAAGGCAGGCTGCAGATCTGCAGTCAGTCGCACATACTGGGCATGCATTCGTATAGTACAAAGTATATTGTATATTATTGTGCATTATAGTATGTTGAATATATCATAGTATGTTACATAGTAGTTATAGTCTATCATTACACAACATTATAGAAGACTATAGTATATTCTTCTAGTCTATGCTAGTACAGTATGTTGTTGGTGGGAAGTCTAAGCAACAGCCACAACGCATATTCGACACCAGATGATTTCCGCAAGCTGGCAAGACGAAAGCAGAATTCTGGACCAAACCCATGCTCTAATTGGCTTCAGCGAGAGACCTGCGTCTAGTCTCAGCCTTTGTTTGAAGCGATGATCTTGAAGTTTGAGGGGCAGGGACAAGCAGGTTTTGTGTTATTCAGGATTTGCAGTCTTCCTTCAACCTTATCCCTGGAAGAGGGGGCCAAGATGCGTGGGCCAGGTCAAGCCGCCTTGGCCACGAATATGTCCAGTCGCTTCGAACACATCCGGCGCTGTGCTCGGAACGGAACCTCTGCCTTTTCCGAGTAGAAGAGTGGGGAAGCATCAGAAAGCTGGCAGAATTCTCGGTAAGGTCATTGAGAATCGTGTCGGGGTGCTGATGGCCATGCCTCAGGCAAGCAACAGCAGCATCGATCTGTCAGCTTGACTTGCTGCGTGCACCTCATTTTCATTTTTCCTGCGTGTCGAGAGGCTGTTGAGTCGCACATCGTTCTCTTGGACCTGGACTGCCAAGAGGTTGAAGCGTGAGGCGGGAGCGCCCTGCGGCTGAAGTAGTGCAAGCCAAGACTGTACAGACATCCTTCTTGGCATGGCAATAACTCTTTGATGGACTTCGGTCACGTGGGTGGCGTAAAGGCAAAGTGTGTAGCCATCGCCGCCGCGGGGGCGAGTTTGAAACACCGTCGGAGAGAGCCATATACACATAACCCCGACAAGAGGGCACACCTGCAAGAAGTAGCTCTATGTGCGGTCTCTCCGACCCGACCATTTTTTTGAAAATTCGCACAGGCTTTCCCCAAGGAAGCGGCTGCCAATTTTCAAGCCCCAGGAAATCATGTGGATTGCCTCCGGGCATGAGCCGCCTTAGCTGCACAAGGCTGTATCGATGCGGCCCCTCAGTATTGTGACACTGCGGCCGCTGTCCATCCAGGTGCTCCGTGTTGCTAGTTTTCCTTTGGCCACTGCAGCTGTAGACTGTCCACATTGCTCTCGGCTGCACCTGAAGATGTGAGCTTTTCAAGCTGCGAGTTAGGCTCCGGTGCCTTACGGAGCTGCAGACGGGATGCAGATTAGAGCATGACGGTACGTCGCTCGTTTGGTCAGACCTCATCTTGATGGGTACTATAAGGGTAGTATGAGAGGGTACTTAGGCTACGATGAGGGTAGTAATTACTAGTAATTACAGGGAAAGTGTTCATATTACGGGAGGCACCGGGGCAGTGAATTCAAACTGGGAAGACATGCGGAGGGCCTCCGGTTCGGACCGCGCCGCTCTCCTGGTATGCATTGAAAAGGCTCAGAACATGGTTCAGGGTTTAGGATTTAGGGTGTAAGGGGGTGTAGGGTGGAGGGTGGGCGAGGGAGGGAAGCGCGATTCTCACGAACTTGGTTCTTCCGTTCTCGCATCATTCCTCGCTTGGCTCATGGTCTGGGAAAGGAGCTGTGCTTGTATTCGCAGAGCATGCGCCTAGACTTTAGATTCCTAACGCAGCGTCAGCAGGCTGAAGGCTGCGGCCCATGAAGGCACGATTTGGCGAGCATGTAGGCGCATGTTAGAGCAAAGATTCCGTCCTCGGCTTATGAAGGCCACGCAGGCCCGCGATAGTGGAGTGTCTGCGGAAGCGCACGCAGATTGCATGGAACACGAAAGGCCCGAAAGGCTCTGCACTGCAGGTCTCATGTCAATGCACCTCAACAGCATTCCTGCCGACTGAGACGTAGAAAGCTCTCGTAGCTAGTGGGACTCTGCATGATACGGGAAGTGATGCGGTCCTGCGACCCTTTTCCACCTACAGACCTACGGGGGCCATAGCCTGTGCATTCGCACTTCTGAAGTTCTTAAGACTTACGTCTATTCAACCTGTGACGCGCTTGCAAGGATGCCTTCGAACTTGCCTCAGTCACGCCTACGTGCGCCCGGGTGGTCTGGCAGGCAGGGCCAGCGAGGCAACAGGTACCAAACCAGGCGGCAAAGCTGACTCGGCTCACAGGCAGCCTAAATATTCTCCTGGTGCTAAGCGATCGGAACGTCACCTCCTGCCGACCTCCACAGACTGTGGGGCAGGTGGCCGAGCTCTCCGTGTGGAGCTGTAGTGCGGGTCCTGGGGTAAGCCGACAGATGCAGGTTGTGTCCTGGAGTCCAGGGTTGACGGTTTGAAAGGGAGCATGTCGGATCTGGTTTGCGTGCGCAGCCATATTGTCTGATGTCTAGGACTGCGAAACCTTCTCTAACTGTGCAAACCCTCGAGCCAATCACCCCACGTCGCCGCACCCAGGGGAAAGGCGAGATTGAGCCCCAAAGTGCAACGCAAGGCACAGGGGTTGCAGGGGTGCTGATTTGCAGCTGGTGCTCTTTTCTGGAGTTGCTTGTGTCAGGGTCTTTGGCTTGTTGGCAAACTGCGTGTCATCTGAAGTCCGCACAGTGGAGGCACGGCTCAGAGGCGGCAATCTGCTCGGCCCTCATGCACGGAGAGAGAGAGACTTCGAAAGATTTCGGAAGTCATGGCTATGTTAGTTCTGCACATTCCTCCATACAGGCCCCCGATTTGCGGCCAGTGCCTCAATGTGCTTGAGGAGTCAGCTGGCCAGGATGAGGGCTTGTGCAGTCGAGAGGAGTTCTCATCCAACTCCTTTGGATGCACAAGGACGGACCGGGCCTCCTAGCTGCATGGTATTTTTCTTCAAAGTCGTTGAGGATCAACTTTTGGAAATGTGAGGGTTGAACATTGGCTCATTGGCTATTGTTCTTGCAAGAACTTTGAGTAGTAACTGCAGCTACTCGTCCTCTGCTTTCTGCGGCTGCTGTGCTTTTGATGATGGTGCGAGTGATGATGCTGATGATGCTGCCGCTAACACCGATGTTACGACGATGTGGCTGATGTTTGTATTGATGATGTGTTGGTTGGTGCACATTGTGTCAGGTGATGTCAGGTGTCTACCACAAGGCCGTGCGGCCAGTGGGGGTTGTCGTCGTCGTCGTCGCAGTGGTCATGGTCGTGGTGCTGGTGGTGGTAGTGGTAGTGGTAGCCGTACTGCTGCTGGTGGTGACAGCAGCAGTGGGAGTGGGACTAGTTATCGTGGCAGCAGCAGCAGCAGCAGCAGCAGCAGCAGGAGAAGCAGTAGTAGCAGTAGCAGTCGTCGTCGTCGTCGTCGTCGTCGTCGTGGTGGTTGTTGTTGTTGTTGTTGCTGCTACTGTTGCTGTAGCTGTAGCAGCAGCAGCAGCAGCAGCAGCAGCGGCAGCGGCAGCGGCAGCGGCAGCGGCAGCGGCAGCGGCAGCGGCAGCGGCAGCGGCAGCGGCAGCGGCAGCGCAGCGGCAGCGGCAGCGGCAGCAGCAGCAGCAGCAGCAGCAGCAGCGGCAGCAGCGGCAGCAGCGGCAGCGGCAGCTGCGGCGGCAACGGCAGCAGCAGCTGCAGCTCGTGGTGCTGACCATGGCTTTTGCACACGGTATGTCGATGTCTGTTTCTTTTCATCATCATCTTCAATTATCAGCAGCAGCATCTTCCGTCGCTTGCACAATATGGACCTTCGGAGTAGAGCATGATACATGATAATCTTTGATGGAGAACTCAGGATCCCGACGCAGCGGAAGCGACAGTCAGTACCAACCTCACCGGCCTTCAAAGCTGGGCGCAAGGCATCGTCCGGCTGTGCCTGCCACTGTTTAATCAGCAGGCACTTCAGGTTTTGACTGGCATAACGATATTCTGTGTACGCAACTGGTGTGTGGACATCCACTCGTGGTCTGATTGCTGTCTGCTGTAGGTCATGCTCTGTTTCGCACTGCCCCTGAACGTTCTGACGCGACAAAGCATCCTTGCTGTGTCGCGTCTTGGGCCTGGGTATTTGGATACATCCAGACTCGCTTTCCACATCGCGAAGCCGCGTGCAACGGCGGATGGCTGCACTTGCACTTGACGCGAGAGCATTTGATCCTCCATGTCTGAAGATGATGGCTGGCAGATTCGGGCATTGCGTACTTGGGAAGTGTGCTGTCAGCTTTTGGGCACACGCATCCATTTGCCAGTCGAATGTGGAACGCGGATGTTCGTCTTCCTGGTTCGAAAACGGAACGCTTCCATCCTATTCGCAGTGCCAGCTGGTCAAGTGTGGTAAACCTGATGGCGACGGTCTGGCACGCCACTGATGTCGGTCACATTCGGTGACACTGTTCCGGGAAAGCCACGGCCGCCAGAACCCAAAATCTGTCCTGACGTTCTGCGTGATGGCGGCCATTGTTGCTAGCTGCTAGCTACTAGTTGCATTGCACGAAACGAGTCGAGCTTCGATTGGTATGCCGAGGTGAGGGACAAGGCGCAGGAACAATGTGCAATCCGAACAGCCTAGTCAGCATCACTGGGCCTATAGAGAACACTCCAGGCAGAACTCAACGACAATGGCAGTTGGCTCACGCTTGTGATTTTCATTGCATTCGGCCACACGCGCGTGGGCGCCATGAGTACCGACCTTTGACCGCCGACGACTCGACCTTTATCGCGGTGTACGGCGCATCGCCCCAGAGCTGTGGTATTGTGTTGCTTTGCTACGTTCCACCCTCAGGTAGACCGTACCCGAGGCCCTAGGCCATCGCCTGGCACACAGCACAGAAACGGCAAGCAAAACACAATGCATCCGGCATTGACGATGATGCACATCCGGTGGTGCGACAGTTGGTGCTGCTCCAACCCCTGCGAACCTCATCCGCCCCCAGATATACCGCATCATCCGCTTTCCAGGCACGGCAGTGGCTGAGCATGTTATAGACTACTGTCGCACGCCATTGGTGGCACAGCATTCCGCTTCGCGCGTGCGTGGAGAGAAAGGCTCCATGCCAGCTGGCCGCATTGAATTCAACCAGCTGTCGTCGAGTGAAACTGCCGCACATGCGGTGTCCGAGAGTTGAAGCATGTGCACGTGGCTCTTGATCGCACATCAGCGCTTTCACCCTGTTTCATCCTGTTTCCACACGCTTCCGTTTGTTGGCACAACTACTGTCGACAGCGACCTGCCGCCGCTCAGCGACATCTCTGCCGACTTTGCCGCCGCGACTAGCATGTCAACCAAATGACCTATCGCCGAATGATGGACTCTGGCTGGTTCTGGTTTGACCCGTCAACAGGATGCACAGGGGTGGGAAACGTGTTGAAACGTGCGATGGGACACCCACTGGCGATGACATCATTTGGATGCGGAGATCCCGGTTGAGGCCGTCTTCCGCTCTACATGGCAAGGCTGTGCGCAGATCGTTGCGGACATGACGGCTTCGAACTTCGCCATGCCTCCCGCCTCAAACTTGCAGTATCTTCGGCCCCGAGTGCAACCCGCACCTGTCAAGCCGCAAGCTCATTGGCTTCGCGACGTGCCGGTCAACTGGGATGTCCCGAATTGGTCACCGTCAGAGTTGTCGAAGCGGCAAGTTTTCAGCCAGAAGTTTCGCCACATTTCGCCACAAGTTTGGACGTCCCGCTGCAGGTTGGGAAGGTGACGCAACAAGCTTGTTCTTCGTTGCGATTCAGGCAGTCAGTGTTGGACGCGGACAGCAAGCAGCCGACCTTGCCAGGATTTGCGTGTGCAGCAGTGCCGAAGTTCCCTGGCATTCACATTGTGTCTCGTCGTATGTGCTCTACTGTTCTGGAAGGGAACCACAAGTTGCTCTTTTCCTAAACACACAACCCGGGCCGGATAGCATCGTCATGGATCCCCTTGTCTAAGAAGGGTGATGCTGATTTTATTTTGCGTAGATTGGGTCTCCCTGATCCGTATCCAGGCGGACATGAAAGGTTTCCGATGGTGGACTGCCGTGAAATCTTCAGGATGCTGCCCAGCCTTTTTTCATTGCAGAATCCGGTGCTTCACGTGCCTCCGTACTCCGACTTGCATAGGGTTTGATGCATTCTGCCATACATTATACAACACACTCGAGGCAACGTAAGGCTGCTGTGGAATCCCCAGGATGCTGCTCAGAGGCTCGTTTCTTGCAGAATCCCGTGCCTCACGTGCCTCCGTACTCCGCTTTCCACCAAGGTTTGGGTATGTTTGGGTCTTCGTGCCCCTATGCATTCTGCAGTAAACCCGCTGCACACAGGCTCGTTCCGCGCCCCTCCCGCCGTGCGCGCGGCAGCGACTGCCGGTTCGGCGCGGCGTTGGTGGAGCATGCTTTCAGTTGCGGTGCAGCAGGCAGTCGCCAGTACGGCTCTGGGCGTGGCCAGGCTGCAGCCGCTGCAGCCGGAAGCCGGCGAGGGCCCGCCGCTCGACAGCATCGTCCAGCATGCCGCCCCTGAGGGCCGGAGTTGCTTGCCCTTGCGGCCCTAGGGAAGGACCGTGGATGGCGAGCCAAGAGCAGCTGCGCGGCTCAGGTAGGAGCAGAGGGACACATTCCGGCAGGCGGAAGGAAGGGCGTGGAAAAAAACTTTCCTCACGTGCCTCCGTACATTTGCGCAGGGTCTGGGTGTCGTGCCCCTGCGTTTTTCTCACTTTCTTTTTACGTTTGTTTGTGCGTTGTACCTGTGCCGTTACGTTTTGTATCGTTTTGTGTGCGTTTGTATTCTTTTTTTCTACGTTATTCATATCCCAACATCCCACGAGGAGCTAGGATGCGGACGACATGACACTAGCCCAAAGCTAACGCGACCGTCAGGGGCAAAGAGGCCGCACGCAGTGCTGACACCACGCGGCTGGCAAACGGGTGCTGGGAAGGTGAGTCGGACAGGATGTCGCTCAGGGGCGGCAACTCCCCGTCAACATTGGCCGTGCCAGTGTGGGACAAGGACAGCAGGCTGGCTGCGAAAGAGTGTGCGGCAGCGAAGGAGGGGAGCGCTGACCACCAGAGCGTAAAAACCGAGACAGCGGCAACCAATGTTTGAATTCGTGTAGTTACAATTAAAAACAGAAGGTAATGGCTAAATTGTGCTATTTTCCTGCACCCATCTGTTCTGCAAACGTTTATCATTTGTGGTACAAGCTGAGCTGAGCCTAAACCTTGTATGAGCTTGTGCGGCGAAGCTTGTGTATTTCCTGTTGAATACTCACTAGCTAGTTGACAAGGTATGTAGCCGCAACACTCCTCGTGAATGCGGAACTTTAAACCCAAACCCCAACCCCGTGTCCCGGACAAGCCTGCCCTAGGCCGCGACGAAGCCCGATCATGTGGCTGCAGCCGACACCAACGCAGAACCCGCCTAAAACTCGATAATTGGAAACTGGATAGGGCTACGTCCCAAAGCGTTGATTGTCTCGCGGATGGCCAACCTACCCCCCCTCCCCCCCCCAACGATTTCCAATTACAACTTCCACTAAACCGCGACGAATCCAGATCACGTGGCTAGAGCTGATACAAACAGGGAACCTGCCTAAAGCTTGCTAATTGGAAGCTGGAAGGGGGATACGTCCCAAAAGCGACGACTTTCTCGAGGATGGCCCACCTACCCCTCCGGCGATTTCCAACTACGGCTGGCCGGGTGCCTCCTGGAAATTTTCCCGAACAAGCCTGAACCGCGGCGAATCCAGATCACGTGGCTAGAGCATGCTAGAGCCGATACCAATTGGGAACCCGCCGAAAGCTCGCTTATTGGAAACTGGAGGGGGGACGTCCCAAAAGCGACGACAGTCTCGAGGATCGCTGGGGGGCTAGGTTTAGGAGATTCATGCGTGGACAGGCTGGCATAGCCTACCTGAATTAATTCACGGAAAAATATCCTTCTGATATCTTCTGATCATCATCAAATCATCATCAAAATCATCGTCGTTTCATCTGTGGTCATCCTCGAAATCCTTCCGATCACTCTTTGAATTCTCTAGGTTTTCTAGACTTTGTACTTCGCGGCGATGCGCCCGGTGAACGCACAACAATGTCCTGAGTCCAGAGTTTGCAGGCATGTTGACGCGAAGTTTGTCCGTGTCGGTGGTGTGGCTGGCGACGACGTAGTGGTGAGGAGTTGATCCCCCCCCCCAACACCAGAATGGAAGCGGAAATTGGAAATGCCCAGGTTCCCGCCGCCCACTTCCAATTAACAAGGTGGGGGGATGCGGAACCATACGGGGACTGAGCGAGCTTCTTTCTCAGTTTCACAGTAAAACATGTCGCAACACATTTCCCCGTGGTCGTTTTTCTTGCAGCAGCAATTGCATTTCGGGGCCAGGCCTCCTCAAAAACACTTGGATCATCTTGGAGCTCAGTTGTGTTTGACTCGCTCCACAAAGCCACCACCTGCCGACCGCGCATCTGGCCGCCGGCTCTTTGGGCAGCTGGACCATGGAGCGAAACCGCGCAGCCCACGTTTTTTGCCTAGAAAGCTCCTCATCAGACCGTGGAGTAGGTCGGGTGGGCCCTCCAAACCTCAAGCTTTTGTCATGCGCTAGTGAACAACAATTCTCTGGTACAGTTTCCTTGTTTTTTTTTTTCCCCGTCGGCCGCTGGAGCTCTCCGTGGCAGCCCTGTGTCGCTGAAGCTTTTGTGCAACGATGGTCGCAACATGCCGCAACACTCGGTGTTTCAACCCGGGCCTCAGCAACGATTGAACGGCAAACGTGGCAACCACCGCAGGTTCGCAGCTTCGTGTCTGAAGCGTCCCGTTTCCATTGCCACCCTTGTCACGACACTGCTTTCTGTCCAGTCTGACGTGTTGCTTGTTTCTGTGAAACTCGCTTCGCCCAATCACAAGGCCCGCCCCTCTCGCACAGGGCTCCGGTGAGCCGCAGCCGGGGGCAGACTGTCAGCCCGGCCTCGCCCTTCGCAAGCAACGCGGCGTAAGCGTCGCGAATGTCAGGACGCTTACCCCGAGCTGTCGCGCTCGCCGCGATGCCGCCTCGTGGTAGAGATTGGTAGCCGCCCGCAGCCTTCCTGAGGCTCCGTGCGCGAGAGCGAGGTGCGCGTTCGCACGTCGGTCGGCTCTGCGTGCGGCCTGTGTGTCTCGCTGGAATAGCATCATTACATCGCAGAGGGCCCTCGCCAGCTCTTTGCTCGAGCTCCCCGCGACACCGTCGCCTGTGCTGGGCGAGCCGGCTGTGCGTGAGGTTCTGCAAGACGAACTCTGCAGCTGCACTGGGCTGGCGCTTGTACCGGCAATACTAAGTGTGGGAGAAAAAAACGATTTACTTCGCCCGCTGTCCCTTATGCCGCTGCTTCTCGGTCAAACACTCCGGATCGCCGCATGCCTCCGACCGCAACCAGTGCAAGAGTGTGCCATGGCACCCACTGTCGGGGACGAACGCCGCTTCACTCACGTGCACAGATGGATGTCGTGCAAGAAAGCGCTGCGCTGTGTGGGCCACCACCTGCTGGCCGAGCATGCCATCCGCACCTTCACGGTTTCACGTCCACTGATGCACGCGAGCTTGCGCCGCTGGCGCACATCCATGCACCATGCTGCCGTCAAAACGCACTGACGGCCGGCCAACCCGCTTGTTTGCGGAACCCGCAACCTGCATCAGCCCGCATTCGTGGATTTTTGCAAAGCTCTCAGCTCAGCAAAAGGACCGACCTGTTGCGTCATCGGTGGTTTTGGCATTGAGTTTAGAGGCGCGTTGCAAACATCATGCCAAAGACCGGCTAGTCTCGCAGCAAGGAGTCGGAATTTTCCGGTGGTAGGTGACCCCGAGCTGGATGGTTGCTGGGTTTTTGTTCTTTGTGGACCTTCTTCTCTACTGCAAGCAAGCGGCACTTGCAGCGCCGCCACCTTATCCTACCGTCACGGCTGTTGCAGGCGGGCCGGAAGCCTGCATTGCCAAAACATGCTAAAGCGCGTCGGCCTCGGCGAGAAGCTCGTGCAAAGCCGGGATTGGTGGCGCGATGGTCGTGGTCTGCTGGCCGTGCAGCGAGCTCTCGCCACTCAAGCTCCTGCTCGCAGGCGCGCGTGACGTGCACGAGGCCCTAGCCGATTTGCGCTGACAGCTCCCTGTCCCTTCCAGTCGTGGGCGGGCCCCAACGATTGCCAAGTTGTTGTGTGGTGTGCGGCGGTTGGTAGTCGTAACCTACCGGACCTCGGTCGACGTGCTGACAGGAAAAACCGCGCACATAGATGTAGATGTGAACACAGATATTGCGCGCTAAAGCTTGGATGGCATCCTAGGTTCCTGTGCTTTTGTTTCCAGCCGACAGTTCAATACATTTCGGGTATGTTCGGGTCGTATACAAATGGAGTAGTTCGGATAGGCAATGCGCATCCGAGAGCATGGACAGGCTGTCAATGCAGCAAAGTCGTCGCCGCGGGTCTCGCCTGTTGGGCTTTTGCCTCAGATGCGCGGGTCGAGGCCACGATCCAGGTGACAAGTGCCAGTACTGGCTAAACAAACCTACACAACATATAACAACATGGTTGCGATGCTGATTACTCGTTGTTGCGTGCAGATTGTCTCCTGGAAGCACGAAGGTCACAAATAGATTTGCTTGGCACGCCACAGGCAAGCGCTGTTGGGTGGCATGTGGTTGGATACGCATCACGGTATGCCACGGTTCTGGTGCCCGCAGGTGTCAGCAAGACGGATTCAGCCAGGCGACGTTGAAGTGCGGGAGGTTGGAAACACGACAGGGTTTGATTGCCGTCCCAATACTGGCGTGGCTGCAGGCTCCCACAGGCCCGTCGCGAATACAGGAGATGGGCGCAACGCCTGCAGTGGAGCGTCCGAAGCCGGCAGAGCAGATCTCAACGAAAGAGCCGCAGCAAGAAGACAGGCAAACAGAAACACATGAGGAGTCTCAGTCACTCGAAACCGCCACTTGGCAATTCGGCCTGTCAGTATGCAGTATGCAGCACCGTGATCTTTTGTGAACATCCGAAATTGCGTTGCTGGACTGAAGATGCGCGTGTCATTGCCTTCGAATAAGGACCTTGACAGCAGACTCGACGAAAGATCTGTTCTGCCCGCTTCGCCTTTCCGAGGCTCACCGAATGCAGTCCGAACGCAGTTCTTCGGAACTTGTCCCGTGTACTGCAGCCTGTTGGTACTTACCCAGTATTGTTTGCCCTTCGCATCATGTGTTTGCCTCGTCGCTGTGTTTTGCCATGTGCATCGCATCTGCTTCATAGGTCTGGCTTAGTGCAATTGCTTCATGTTTTGCGCTGTTCCACTGTGGCTTTCCGCCTGTTGCATCTTGCTGTGGGATCACGAAAGCTAGCCTTCTGGAGCTTGTGGGAGTTCTTGCGCTTTATCACGCTTTATCTGGCTAGGAATCAGGCACAAGCCCGCCATTGGTCCTGATATTTCACTCACTTGTTTCTCTTGTTTGCACATTGGGAAACTATTTCCACGATTCCCCAAGTAGCTGCAGATGGGCGACGCAGCTCCAGCCAAGCACGAGCAAATCGAATTCGGACCCTCAAATCCTCCTCGCATCGGGAACAGAAACATGGGGAAGGTCACATCGACGATGTTGACTGAAAGGAAGGGGGGGGGGCGAGACTGCAAGCTCGCAAGCGGAAGGGCGCACGGAATGGACAACATTTAGTTTTTCCGAAAATTTTCGTCGGACAACAATTCTTCGCAGCATGGAAGGGTTACGCGTCAGGGATTCTGCGTCTTGGGGAATGTCGCAGAACAGAAGACACAGTTCAGTTGTACAAGAGTATTGCAAGATTGCCCGGCTTCTTGTGATTGGCAATCAATTCGAGTTGGGGTTAAGCTGAGGGTGGGGGTTGACATGTTTTGGTTGGGGCTGGCGGGGGATGGACGATATCGATTCTGCCGAGGCTATCGTGAGCGACGAAGACTAGGTGCAACTGTGCAGCCTGTTGTGCTTGTTTCCCTGCCATGACCCGGTAGTTATTAGCAGTCCTTCCCTTTTTTTCGATTCCTACGAACACGCAGGACAGCTAGCGAAAGAGAGCTGGCAGGCTTGGCAGCAGGACTCATTGCATGTGCAGACCGTTCCGGTTGCAATGAGTCTTGCGTGGACATGGGATGTGGAGGAACATGGTGTGACGCTGGGGCAGCTGCAGCGCGCAACAATCCCCAGACAGGGCTCGAGTTTGTCCGGGCAGCACAACACAACGAACAGCACTGAGCCAGACCAGCCAGTCAATCCCTGCTTTGATGAGTGGCCTGCTGCAGATGCAGCGCGCGGCTCCGAGGCAAGTCGAACACGAGATTTGTTGACACACGTCGGCGACGGCGGTTGTAGCAGCATGCAAATCGGGACTGACACCAGTCGAGAGTCCAAGCCAAGCATACCCCAGGCCAGCAACCTGCAGCATCCAGCCCAGGCACGGCGGTCACCACCGTCCGAAAGCAAGCATTCAGCATACGAAGCCTTGCAGCGATGCGAGGAAAGCCTTCAAGGAACCCAGACGCAGGCAAAGAAGCATGCAGAGCCGGCCCAGACCCAGACGACTCCTGAGAGCACCTTTGTGGCTTGGAGCCAAGAGGGTTTACCCGATGGCATGATGCGTTTCAGTCAGTTGCAGAGCTATATTAGCCGAGACGTGTGCAGGAGTGACCCAATCACATCTAAGCGTCAGTATAACCATAGTGATAGTTGGGATTTTTGGCAGCGGTGGCAATTTGCTCAGGTTCACCGGGGTCACAAGCCAATGGTCAGACACTTCTCATACCCGCGGCGACCTCATTCGGAACCTGCTCATGGCTGCCTTTGGAGCGAACATGTTTGTCACTGTTGTCGCCATGCAATGAGTCAATCTGTGAACTTTGCAGGGACAGCGGGCATGCCATCACAGCGAGGTATAGCGAGGTCAGGCCATGGAGTTCGTTTCCGAGGTTGCCGCGGTTCAAGCTGGCAGTGTAGCACGTGTGGTGGGGCAGCATGGCGCCGAAGGGGGACAAGGCCAAGAAGGCGGAGAAGGCCGCAAAGGCAGTGAAGGGCACCGTGAGCAAGAAGGCGCGAAAGGTGCGCACCAAGGTCCGATTCTACCGACCGAAGACTTTGATCAAAGCACGCGACCCCAAGTACCCGCGCAAGTCGGTCGAATCCCGGGGCGACAAGCTCGACAAGTACCGCATCATTCAGTGCCCTGTGACCACCGAGTCGGCAATGAAGAAGATCGAGGAGATCAACACCCTCGTGTTTCTGGTGGACCTCAAGGCAACCAAGCCCAAGATCAAGGAGGCTGTCAAGCAGCTGTATGACGTGAAGTGTGCCAAGGTGAACACGCTCATCCGGCCAGACGGGCTCCGCAGCTGCATTTGGCTTCCCAAGAAAATTAGCTGTTAACTATTCACCTGACCATGTGAAGTGAGTGGCACGATCACGGACCACTGTCTCGGTGTGCCAGGAAGAAGAAGGCATACGTGCGCCTCACGCAGGACTATGATGCCCTGGACGTCGCCAACCG